GTATAGATCTATGATAACTAAGGCTAGCACTTCCTTACCTAAACCCATGGGGCTAACCAGGAAGACTTTAGCACTTTGCAGGCTGAACTAAAAAGAGCTGGCAATTGGTCGTTCTGAGAACTTTGCACTTTCTCATTAAATAGTGTTTATAGATACACTAGGTATGTAAATGTGGTCTTATAATTTTATATATTTTTAAAGGATTAGTGTTTATAGATACACTAGCTAATTCCACCACGCTTGGACATATTATTAGTCGACGATATTTCGAATTTGAATGTGAAATAAGCTTAATAACACGAGACAAATATGTTCGTGCGCCGGCAAGATATATGAACGGAATTGCACGATAAGGAACAATCAACAAAAACTAACTAAAAACCAAAATCCAACATCTAACTTTTTCAACCAAAAATTTAATTTAAGAGGGGAGAATGTATTTATGGCTTACAGTAGATGCATTTGCATTATCCTCAATGACACTAGAGGGGAATATTTAGAACGTGTTCGGTCGTGCTTAAATTAAAAATGAAAATATAGCCGTTATTGGTTCTCGCTCGTCTAATAAAAGTCAACAATAATGACTAATTTTTTAATTTTAATCTGATTTTAATTTCTACCGAACACGCCCTTAGTGTTATATGTGACATGGTGTTCACTGGATGCAGGGACACATGACCTCATCTCCATAATTGAAGCATCTTATCCTAGGTATCAATTTTAACCTAACTAGCATGTGGCGCAATAAATGCTCTTAAAAAGGGGCAGTCACTCTACAACCTATGTTGACAAGAGTTCGACATATTACTCATTACACGAATCACATCAATCATTCGAACAAGATTTCATGAATTCAAGATCTTCAAATGTGGTTTTTCACTCATCGTGGTAGAGCTTCAGACTTAACCTCGTTGAACCTCCCCACTTCGGCAAGTCCATTCCATGCAACCACTTCGGTGAAAGTGCTTTGATTGCAAGAGGGCTTCGATAGGTCCTAAGCACTCCACGTGGGATGTCAAGTAGGCTTCACGTGGGAGCTTCGTTGGCGAGGCGTAATAAGTTTCATGTCAATGGCCTTCTTATGTAGGGGTGGCCATGGGTCACATTGGATTGGGTTCAGACCATACATGACAATCAAACCGACAATTTTGGTTGGATGAAATTTCAACCGGAAATTGAACTGATGGGACGAATAAACCGATTAAACTGAATTCAGTCCGTTTGCGTTAGTTCGATTTGTCAGGTTGAAGAGGATTTTTCCCTTGAAAAATCAATCTTTTTTTAAACTTGACCCCTCAAACTAAGCTTTTCGCGTCAGTCCAAGTCAATCTTAGTCAGTTCAGCTTAATATTTTGAATCTTCTAGACAGTTGATTTCCCTGGCCCCCATGTGACTTATGGGATCATCCATTTGGATGCCAACATTTAATCGGGCTCACTTTTGGACAGAGGCAAATGAGGCATGTGCATCAGGCCCAATCTAAAAAAGGGTCTCATATTTTTTTTTCTAGATGGAAAAATCAGATTTAAGGCCAATTCCTTCCTTCGCGTCTGTCCCTTGTACCAGAGAGAGAGAGAGAGAGAGAGTGAGAGTCTACAATTAATTTGTAGTTAATTTTAAGTCAGATATAATAGAAAATCCTATTAATTCTTTCCCGATTTGTGAGTGATATTTTCCAGGAACAAGCTTGCTGCTTCAAGTTTATCCTTCTCTTGGGTTTGTAATTCTATTTTATTTGCTTATATGTGTGATGAATGCTCAACACTCATGATATTTATGCCACTTA